AACTGTCTATTTTAAATATTTTTACAGAAGTATTTAATTCTTTTTGGAAAAAAATGTTTTATTACTACATGCCCAGTGCTCATGTTCATCATAGAAAATTTGTACCTGTACATAATATATCTTAATTCTTTTTCCCCCCTTCCCATTTCCTTCCCTCCCTTCAATCCTTTTTCTTCTCCCATTTACAGCTTTGTTTTCCTTCCATTCTTTGCTTTTTTAACCCCTATCCCTTCCTTCCCTTCACCTCCCTGCTTCCCTGTTCCCCTTACCATATGAACATGTTCTTCCCCTACTCCTAATATCTATCCTCCATTTTGTTCCTTTTTAACCCTTAGGGCTTCTCATACAAGATAGACTGTGATATTTAAACTTGTGTGTCTTATTCATTCATTCATTAATTTATTTCATAAAATTATAGTCTTGAAGTGTATCCATCTACCTACAAATGGCTCAATTTATCATTCTTGATGGCATAATAGTAGTTCCTTCTATATAATTCTATTGAATTTTCTTTACCCATCATCTGTTGATGGCCATATGGACTGTTTTTGAAATTTAACTATTTTAAATTATGCTGCTGTAAACATAGATATGGATATATCACAATGGTGTCATGCTTTTAACTCTTTGAGAAGATCCCTAAAAGAGGTCTAGCTGGGTCAAATGGAACCTCTGGTTTTAATTTTTTGAGGAATCTCCACACTGATTTCCATACACTCCCACCAAACATGGAAAAGGTTTCCTTGTCCCCCACAGCCTTGCCAGCATTTGTTATTGCTTGCTTGCTTGCTTGCTTGCTTTGGTTTTGGAGTTTTTTTGAGACAGGGTCTCACTATGTAGTTGAGACTTTGGAACTCACTATATAGCCCAGGTTGGTCTTGAACTCACAGCGATCCTCCTGCCTCAGCCTCCCAAGTGCTTGGATTACAGGTGTGTGCCACCACACGCAGCTGTTATTGGTTGTTTTCTTGATGAGAGATACTCTTTCTGGAGCAGAAACATTTAATTCTTTAAATAAAATTATTTTAAAGAGAATAATACCACCATTGTAGGAAATATAAACATCAACATGTATAAATATTAAAGTGAAGTGTTACATCCATTGCCTCTCCAAAGGCATAACCGGTGTTAACATATTGGTTGTATTGCTTTCCCTTTCCTTTTCGTTTCCCTTTCCCATTTTTTTCTTTTCTCTTTCTTTTCCTTTCTCCCTTGCCTTTTTGTTTAAATGAAAATTATAGGGCTGTATCCCTAGTTTTAAGCTTATTGCAACACATTTTCTGGGATTGGTAACCAGAAATTTTCCTCCTACCCTTAGTAACATTCTTATTTTTTGATTGCTAAAGTTATGTTTGAATAAATCTGTTATAAGAGTTGTTTTTTTAAAAGTAGGGTATATTATTTGTATGTATGTTCTGTTTTGTGATTTGTCTTTTTCACTTATGATATTCTAAGAGGATTTTCTGTGTCCCGCATAGTGCTGTACTGATAAGGTCACTCTTATTATTTTAACATTCTTTTTTGTTTTTGTTTTTTGAGACAGGGTCTCACTATGTACCCCAGGCTAGCCTTGAACTCGCTGTGTAGCCCAGGCTGGCCTCCAACTTGTGGCAGTCCTCCTATCTCAGCCTCCTGAGTGCTGGAATTACAGGCATGTGCCGCTATTCCTGGCTATTTTAACATTTTTTTACATTGTATTTTTAAAGAAATAAGTGAATATATAATTGCAAAAAACTTAAGCTATGAAACAAAATAAAAGTCTTTGTTCATTCCCTGCAATCCTATTTTATTCACCAAAGGTGCTTCCTATTACTTGTTTTGTGTACACTTATTATCTGTGCTTCTCTTCCTCTTTTTAAGGGGAGCAGTAGAAAGGGACTGAATCTAGGGCATTTCTTATGCTACCCAAGGGCTCTACCACTGAACTATATCCCCATCCTGTTTTTAAAATACTGGAGACAGTACTGCTAAATTGCCTAGACTGAATTTGAATTTGTGATATTCTTGCCTCTTGAGTAGCTGGAATTACAGGCATATGCCACCAAAGCTAGTTAACATCTTGTTTTTTAAAATGTATTTACATATATCCACATACACACAGATACATTTGTGGCTTTGATAAGTAGTTTTTAGAATTACCTCAGTTTTCCTGCAACTTGATTTTTTCACAGTATAAAGACATTTCCTTGTTAGTATGTGTCGCGAACCGGCGACGCAGAGCACTGTCCCGCAGTGCCTCAAACCTGAAAGAGCAGCGGGGTGGAGATGGGGCAGAGAGAAAGGAAGGACGCCAAGACAAGAGTCTGATCAAGGCGACGTTTATTGCAGGCAGGCATCAGCCTTTTAAAGGAAAAGACCGAACTATTATGGGCTAGGATTACCATAGTAACCTCAATACCTGCTCCTATAGATAACATCAGATCTTTAACATAACAAAATGGAGTTAACAGCACCTGACTCCTACAGATCTTTGGCTGTCTGGGTTTCTTCCGTGCAGGGCAAAACAAGTTTAACACGTGCAGTCCTTAAAAAGGAATAAATGTTGTCTTTCAAAAAGCCAGTGGGCTATGGCTGGCTTCCCACAAGTATGTAAACTGTCTGCCTCTCTTATATTCCTATTTTGGATTAGCCATACTTTATGTTATCATTGTTAGCAGTAATTGTTTATATTGTTACTATTATTTGATTATCATATCACCATAAAAACTTGTTCGCCATGAGGGTGTACATTTTAAATTTCAGTGAGAACTGCCAAGAATCCTCCAAAGTATTGTGTACCACTTTGATGTTTTATTCTTGGTATTTTTTTCTACTTTTAACAATATTGGATATTATCAGTCTTTATACATTTTTTATTCTCATGGATGATCTTACTCTTTATATATTTTTTCCTTTTATTGTTTGGACTTTTATGACTCATTTTTATTTTGAATTATTTTCTTTTGATTTATAGGAGATCTGTTTTTTAAAAAGTAAATCCTTTTTAAATATGTTTAAAATATTTCCTGGTCATCTATTACTTGTCATAACTTTATGATATATTTCATTACATAAAAATAATTTTAATAGTCAAATTACTACTATTCACATCTTCTTGGATTTTGTTAGATGCTTCAGAAAAAGGCTTCCTTCCCTCAAGATGCACCTATATACTTTAAAAGTTATATACTAGGCAAATGATTAAATTTTATTGGTCCAAGGACATTGGTAGATTATTACGCATTTTGTACTGAATGAGAATCCTACCTTTATCATAACCTAAATTCTCTCTTAACTTAATTTGTCTACATTACTGCCAAAACGATACTTTGTTTTTGAGACAGGGTCTGTCTTTATAGTCCAGGCTGACTTTGAGCTCACTATGTAGCCCAGCCTGGCCTCAAACTCACAGCTTTGTTCAAGTGCTGGGATTACAGGCATGAAAATCATATTTTTAAATGATTAGCTTTATGAAAATTTTGCCACATGACTGGGAACATACCCCCTCAGGTTAGCAGTTCTCAGAAATATCTTTGTTTCCTCACATTTTTTATCCAGCAATATTTTATATATACTGTATTACACAGTATCATACATTCCTGTTGGTATTTTGACGGTTGTTATACTGAATTTTAGATTTGGGGCAGATTTGATATTTGTTTCAGTACTGTGTTGTTTTCCCATAAACATGTTATCTCTCTACTTTAATTCAGATTTTCTGTGGCCTACAAGCAGGTTTTATAGATGTCAACCTAAAGGTCTTACGTATTTTGGGTTTTTCCTGAATATTTTACTTTATGTGTTGCTATTGAGATTGGGATATCTTCTAGTCATTCATTACTTCTGTGTAGATGCTTTGATTTTTATCCTTTAGCCATTGAACTATGTCAAAACCTGTTAGTTCTAATAGTTTGTCAGTAACAGAGTGGTAGTTGATTCTCTTTGATGCTCCAGAACAGCATTGTTCAGTAGAAGTCACATGTGTAATCCCCGGTAAACATTCCTGTACCTGCTTCTGTGTGTCTCTGTTCAGGTGTTCCCTATGACGGTATGCAGTTTTCTGGTACTATAGTAAAGAAAAAGAAACAGGTGAAAATAATTTTTGTGATAAACTTTAACCTAGTATATCCAAAATACCATAATTTCAACATATAAATAATAAAATGTTAGTAAGATATTTTACATTCTTTTTTGTGTTGTCTTCAGTTTTCATTGTATATTTTATACTTACATTGCAATACAATTTAGACTACATTTCAAATGCTCAATAACTACAGGTGTATAATGACTACTGTATTTGACATTACTGTATTTGCCTGAAAATAATGAATATTTTTTCCTAACTTTGTAAAATTATTTTTTCGTATAATGTTTTTGCTTGGAGCACCACCAAAACTATGGTGTTGATGTTGATAATATTAATGGAAATACTTAATAGTGTTTATAGTATTTAGCTGCTGAGGATTGGTATAAAACTTGCATATAGAATTGTCTTATAACTGCATATGTTTTCATATATAAAGACAGACTTGAAATGTATGTAATTTAAATAGTGGCTATCTCTGAGAATTAGAATATAGGACTAAACCAGGCGTGGTGGCGCATGCCTGTTATCCCAGCACTCGGGAGGCTGAGGCAGGAGGATCACTGTTTGAGACCAGCTTGGGCTACATAGTGAGTTCCAGGTCAGTCTCAATTACGTAGTGAGAGCCTGTCTCA